CAACACTGACTGGGTGTTTGATGATATTAAGGAATAAATATTATTTTTTTAGGATGATAATAGGTATTGTGGTTATGTTTTTTTAAGAATCATCTTTGAGAGATGCATACCGAAGTATTTAAAATGAAATTACACGATATCTGAGATTTGAGTCAGTGCCCGGCTGCGGGGCCTCCTGCAGTCAAGGCCCTCATCGTGGACTTTGGGCTCTCTGTTTTCTGCCCCAGGGGGTCCTGGAGGGCAAGTTCCCGTCCTGGGTCTAGGAGAATCCCACTTCTGCACACTCTAGGTCGTGGCTTACTTTGCCTAATTGTCAAATTCTGTGCTTCAATTTGCTGTTTTCCAGGAATCTTTTCAAACCTCTTGATGGCGTTTCGCTCGTTCTCTTCATTGTTGTAGATTTATATATGTGTATATTTTAATTTTACTGTCGTTTTAGTGGAGTCTCCAGAGGGAAAAGAGACAATGTGTGTCACCCATCTGTCATCTTCTTTTTGGAAGCCCCACCAAGATATTTTTAAACAACTGCATAAAATTACATCGAACAATCCCAATGTACTCAGTGATTTTCTGGTTGGGTGTTTAGGATCCCATAATTATGCAAGGAGACTGTGAAAACCAGCAGGTGCATTCAGATGTGGGTGTCAGTGATGGGATGAGATAGTGTCCCTGGGAAAACTGTCCCTGGCTCTCTGGTTTGCAGACTGCTGTATGGAGTTGCGTGTAGAGTAGGTGGGAGTGTCTGCTCAGAGTAGCTCATCAAGCCTTGGGGAGTGGGCACCGTGCCTGGCACAGGGAAGCTGAGTGAGGAGTGGGTCATTGTTGGTCAGGGCATCACTGTGACTGTCCTGCTGCCCACTGCCCTGTGTCGGTTCTGGTCTATGTGGGAGCTGCCACATGTATTCACCACCCACAGAATGAATGTCAGCTGCCATTTGGTGGGAACTCTCACCCCATATCCTCAATTTTAACAAGGCCAGGAGACAATCATGTGTTTGCTAGGAGGTTCTTGGGGCAGGGAATGGTACAAACAGCCAAGTCAGCATGAACCGGGGTGTGTGTTACAGTCTCAAACTCCTCCCCAGCTTCCTCTACCTTTGTGTGACTTGGGGGTGACCTCACCGACTTGGATTGGTACACTTGGCTGAGTGACTTTAAGTAGCCAATATTCAGAAATCATTGGATTAAATATTTGGAAACAATAAGGAAAACAGCTTATAGGGATGGTTTTTTATGTCAGGGGAGGAGATATAGTCACACAACTGGCCCTACCCCAGCCTTGGCATTAACCTGGGTGTTTGCATCAGGACCTCCAGAACGTCTGTGCACCTGGAGGGGCTTAAGATGACAGATGTGTATCCTCTCCCAGTTCTGGAGCAGAAGTCTGAAATCAAGGTGGGGGCAGGGCTGCACTCCCACCGGAGGCTCCAGGGGAGGATCCTTCCTGCCTCTTCCAGCTTCTGCTGGCTCCATGTGTTCCTTGAAGCCGCATCACTCCTGCCTTTGTCTTCACGTAGGCTTCTCTTGGTGTCTGTGTCTTCTCTCCTGTCTCTTACACGAGTAAGGACACTTGGCATTGGATTTAGGACCACCGTAATTCCAGGATGATCTCTCCTCATCTCAAGATCCTTAATTACATCTGCAAAGACCCTTCTGAATAAGGTCCTATTCGCAGGTTCTGGGAATTAGGATGAAGACATATTTTTTGGGAGCCACCTTTCAACCTGCTACACCCTGGTTCAGGGTCAAACCTGCCCAAGGGTCAGTCCTGATGTGGGGAGAAAGATGAGATCAGGGAAGGGGGTGAGGGTGCTTGGGGTGGGTTTATTAGTTTCCTGTGGCTGCCTTAACAAATTGCCCAAAACTGGGGGGCTTAAACCAACAGAAACTTATTTCCTTGTGGTTCTGGAGGCCAGAAGTCTAAGGTCAGGGTGTCGGCAGGACCGCACTCCCTCTTCAGACTCCATGGGAGGATCCTTCCTGGCTCCTTTCTGGCTTCTGGTGCGTGTGGCTATCTTCAGTATTCCTTGGCTTATAGTCACATTGAGCCAGGCTCTATCTCTGTCTTCACATGGCATGCTTCTCTGTGTCTCATGTGTCCTTTCCTGTCTCTTATGAGTATGTTCCAGTTGAACTTAGGGCCCACCCTCATTCTCTATGATCTCATCTTGATTCTTAATTTAGTTACATTTCCAGAACCCTATTTCCAAATAAGTCCCATTCTCAGGTTCCAGGTGGACATGGATTTTGGGGGGATACTATTCAACCCGCAGGAGTGGGGCACTGCGATTTTAAGTAGGTGTTTGAAGGCTTCATTGAGCTTTTAACCTGGAGGAGGTAAGTGGGGAGCCATGTGGAGATCTGGGGAAAGAGCCTTGTCAGGAGGACAGAACGGCAAGCGCAAAGGCCCCGAGACAGGAGCAGCAGCATTGGAGGACCAGTATGAAGGCCAGTGTGGCTGGAGCAGAGTGAGGTGGAGGAGGAAGAGTGGGCCAGAGAGACTGTGCATTGCCCAGTAAGAGGGGTGGGCCTTGTCCTGAGTGCTGGGAGAGGTCTTGTCATGGTGTCCCTGATCTGTGTGATGGGGCTGGGTGAGGAGTCAGTGAGCAGTGTGGACACTCAAGATGCATGAGCCAGCATCGCTTCTGCATACAGAGTAGTTAATGTTTGCTAGGACAGTTTGAAATCTCTTCTTACCACAATCCTAGAGGCAGGTGTCTTCATTCCCCTTCACAGATGGGGCCCAGAGGGGTAAAGTGATTTACTCAGCCTCACACAGCACACTAGGAAAGGAAAGGAGTGTGCCCCACTCGGGCCTCCCACTTTATCCCTAGATGCCTGGCGTGGCTGCAGAAAAGGGATTAAAGGACCAAACACCGTGGATTTCTTGCGCTCTCCAAACTGCCTAACGCTCCGCCAATTTCTTTCTTTTCCTCTTTCTCTCCCTTCTCTCCTCCTTTGTCCTTCCCTTAACTTTGCTCTTTTTCCAAAGGGGCAGGATTGCACCTGAGAAAAGGGCTCCAGGCCAGGGCTGGGTGCAGCCCCAGACCACAGTGCCTCCCTATCTCTGGTCCTAAGCCTGCATTCGAGGGTGGAGGCCAATGTTTAGGCTGCAGGTTATGCAAACGCAACA